ACATAAGTCCCTTATCAGATATATGATTTGCAAATATCTTCTCTCATTCTATGGGTTGTCGTTTCACATTCTTGATGGTATCCTTTGCAGCACAAAAGCTTTCAATTTTGACGAATTCCAATTTATTTTTTTTCTTTTGTTACTCGTGCTTTTGATGTCATATCTAATACACTGTTGCCTCATCTAAGGCCATGAAGACTTACCCCTATGTTTTCTTCTAAGAGTTTTATAGTTTTACGTTTAGGTCTTTGATCCATTTGGAGTTAATTTTTGTATATGGTAGGAGGTAGGAGTCTAGCTTCATTCTTTTGCATGTAGATATCCACTTGACCCAGCATCATTTGTTGAAAAGACTATTCCCATTGAATTATCTTGATAACCTTGTTGAAAATCAAGTGACGATAAAAATGAAGATTAATTTCTGGGCTCTCAATACTATTTCATTGGTCTATATATCTATCCTTATGTCGGTATCAAACTGTCTTGATTATTGTAGCTTTGGTAGCAAGTTTTGAAATCTGAAAGTGTAAATCCTCCAATTTTGTTCTTTTTCTTTCTTTTTTTTTTTTTGAGGAATATTAGCCCTGAGCTAACATCTGCTGCCAATCCTCCTCTTTTTGCTGAGGAAGACTGGCCTTGAGCTAACAACAGTGCCCATCTTCCTCCACTTTATATGTGGGACACCTACCACAGCATGGCTTGCCGAGTGGTGCCATGTCCGCACCCGGGATCTGAACCGGCGAACCCCAGGCCGCCGAAGCAGAACATGCGCACTTAACCACTGCGCCATTGGGCTGGCCCCTGTTATTCTTTTTCAGTGTTGTTTGTCTATTTGGAGTCCCTTAAATTTTCATATGAATTTTAGGATCAGTTTGTTAATTTCTGCAAAGAAGGCAGCTGGAATTCTGATGGGGATTGCATTGAATCTAAAGATCAATTTGGGGAGTATTGCTATCTTAACAATATTAAGTCCTGTAATCTATGAACTTGGATGTCTTTCCTTTTATTTAAGTCTTTAATTTCTTTCAGCACTGTTTTGTAGTTTCCAGAGTATGTTTTATACTTATTTTGCTACATTTATTCCCAATTATTTTATTCTTTTTGATGCTATTGCAAATTGAATTATTTTCTTAATTTTATTTTTGGATTGCTCATTGCAAGTGGACAGAAATACAGTTGATTCTTGTATCCTGCAATCTTATTGAACTCATTATTAGTTCTAATAGTTTTTTTTTTTAGTGGATTCCTCAGGATTTTCTATATATAAGATCAGGTCATCTTGTAAATAAAGATAGTTTTACTTTTTCTAATCTAGATGCCTTTTATTTCATTTTCTTGCCTAATTACCCTTGTCAGAACCTCCAGTAATATGTTGAAAAGAAGTGGCATGAGCAGACCTCCTTGTCTTTTTTCTGATCTTAGGGGGAAACCATTAAATTTTTCACCATTAGGTATAATGTTAACTGTGGATTTTTCATAAATGCCTTTTATTAGGTTGATGAAGTTCCCCTCTATTTTGATCATGAAGAGATGCTGAATTTTGTCAAATGCTTTTTCTGCATCCATTGACATGATCATTTGTCTTTTGTCCTTTGTTCTATTGATAAGATGTATTAGCTATATGAATTGATTTTTTTATGTTAACCCAACCTTCTACTCTGGAATAAATCCCACTTGGTCATGGTGTGTAATCCTTTTTATATGTTGCTGAATTCACTTAACTAGCAGTATTTGGGGATTTGGGGCTCCATATTCATGACAGATTTTGGCTTGTGGTTTCCTTTTCTTGTGATATCTTTGTCTGGATTTGGTATAAGGGTAATACTGGCCTCATAAAATTAGTTGAAAGTGTTCCTTCCTCTTCTATTTTTTGGAAGAGTTTGAGAAGGATTGGTATTTATTATTTTTTAAATGTTTGGTAGAATTCACCAGTAGAACTGTCTGGCCCAGGCTTTTCTATGTAGGTAGTTTTTTTTATTATAATTCAATCACTTTCCCTGTTATAAGTCTATTCAGATTGTCTATTTCTTCTTGAGTCACTTTTGGTAGTTTGTGTCTTTCTAGTAATTTGTCCATTTCATCTAAGTTATCTGATTTGTTGGAATTTAGGTGTTCATAATATTCCTTTATGATCCTTTCTATTTCTGTAAGGTTGGTAGTAATGTCCCCTCTTTCATTCCCAATTGTACTAATTTGAGTCTTCTCTTTTTCTCTTGGTCAGTCAGCTAAAGTTTTGCCATGTTTATTGATCTTTTAAAAAATCAACTTTTAGTTTCATTGGTTTTCTCTATTGCTTTTCTATTCTCTATATGATTGATTTCTGTTCTAATCTATATTATTTACTTCCCTCTGCTTGCTTTGGGTTTAGTTTGCTTTTATTTTTCTAGTTTCTTAAAGGGGAAGGTTAGGTTATTGATTTGAGATCTTTCTTCTTTTTTAATATTGTCTTTCACAGGTAAAAATTTTCCTCTAAGCACTATTTTAGCTGCATCCCATAAGTTTTGATATGTTGTGTCTTTATTGTCATTCATTTCAAAGTATTTTCTAATTTTCTTGTGATTTCTTCTTTGGTTACTTAGGAATGTTTTGTTTAATTTCCACATATTTGTGAATTTCCCAAATGTTTTTATATTATTGAACCCTAATATCATTCAATTATGGTCAGAGAACATACTTTGTATGATTTAAATTGTTAGTTCTTTGAACACATTTGTAATGATTAAAGTGTTTTTCTATGAAATCTGACATCTGTGCCCTCTTACAGGCATTTTCTGTTGCCTGCTTTTTTTCCTGTGTATGGATCACACTTAACTGTTTCTTTGCATATCTCATGATATTTTTTTTTAAACTGGACATTTTAGGTAATATATGGTAGCAATTCTGGATACTAACTCCTGCTCTCCACCACAAAGCTTGTTTTTGTTGTTTCCTTGTTTATCTCTTGAGTGACTTGTCTGGCCTATTTTAGTGAAGTCTATTTCCCCTGCATTGTGAAGCCTCAGATGTCACTCCTCTGAGGATGCTGTCTTGGGCATGCACACACTCACCCTCCATGGCAGTGTTTTCAGCAGGGCTCTCTTGGACTGTCTCTTTTCCTGATCTGTTAAGCTATTTGCCTCTGCTAGTATCACACCCAGCTGTTAGGCTCAACTAATTGCCAGCTGATTGCTCTATGGTTTTTGACATGTGGGGCATAAGTTGCTCCATAGTTAAATCTAATTAAATTTGGGCCCCTTTATAGGTTTTTTTTTTTTCCTTTTCTGCTTTTTCTCCCCAAATCCCCCCAGTACATAGTTGTATATCTTAGTTGTGGGTCCTTCTAGTTGTGGCATGTGGGACACCACCTCAACATGGCCCGACAAGCGGTGCAGTGTCCGTGCCCAGGATCCGAACCAGCAAAACCCCGGGCTGCTGAAGCGGAGCGCACAAACTTAACCACTCGGCCACAGGGCCGGCCCCATCTTCTTTTTTTTTTTTCTTTAGGGGTTGTTTTTGATGCAAATATTTTAAGTTTGTTCTGCCCTCAGGAGAGCTCTTAAATGCTGTCTCTTTCCTTGGTTCTTTCTGTTAAACTGGCTGGCCTGTGGTTTAGGTTGTTCCTCTAATGGAGCTACCAGCCTCTTTTCTAGCTTAATCTCCATTTTTTTGAGAGTTCTCTTAGGCTTGAACTTCCCATACTCTGTTTCACATAAAGTCTGTTCTTTTGGAGCAAGCTTTGGAGCTCTCCGTTCTTATGGACTGCCTCTCCCCCTGGGCAGAATCCCTAAGCCCCTGCTCTGGAGCTGGTGTCAGGGACAGTGACCTGGGTCTCTCAGAGTGACACTCTTGTTTAAGGAGCAGGGAGCTGGGCAGGGCTGATAGGCTCTGGTCCTCTCAGTTTGCATCTCTGTTCTGAAGCCCCCACCCTGTTAGTAATGTGGGGTGAGGGCGATCAGGGCTCCAATATTCTTATCCTGCTGTACCTGAGGTATAGCCTCTGCCCTGTGAGAGGGGCTGGGTGGAGGAAGGGAGTCCTCAGTCTCCTGACCACATTCACTAGGAATTTAGTCTCTGCAGCTTGGAACTGGGGAGGGCTGAGAAATATTGGTGGCCTGCCCCTCCTGGTGAAATACCGTGTATCTTGACTGGATGCTGAAGGCATAGGAAACCCCACTTTTTCTTTAGCCACGCTCACTTGGAGTGGAGCATCTGTCTAAGTGAGCTGTGGGGTGGTAGTTGGGGGCATAAACTTTCACTGTTCAAGATTTAGTAGATTTTCTTGAATAGATGTTTCTTAATTTGCTGTATGTCCTTAGGAAAATTTCCAGAAATTTTAAATGTTTGTGTTTTAAAAAAACTTTCCCTATGGAATTTCACAGGGAGCAGGTCTGCAGAACTCCTCATGCCGCCATTCCAGAAGTGGGACCTCTCTCTCTTTTACTTTTAATAATTACTTTAGAAATTGCAGGGGTGCATACTTAATTTATCAAAGGCTAACATTAATTGATGTCTTCACTCTCTCTCTGAATAATACAAGGACCTTAGATCTACTTGAAATTTTTTTATTGTATGCACACACACAAAGAAAAAAATATATATATTTCAAGTAAGATAAGTGTGTGTATATATATATATATATATATATATATCTCAAATATGTCTTAGTCTATACCTCCTGTATTTATGTAAAGCAAGAATGTGAAACAGAAATCGACTGGTTACCTACAGTTAAGCTGCCTGGGCTCAATTCCTGTTTTTACCACTTACCAGCTGGTTACCCTGAACGAGTCCCTTAATTGCATCAAACCTGAGTTTCTGGAGCCACAGAGTTGAGATACTAATACCTCCTTCACTGGCTGTTCGTGATAATTAAATGAGCTACTGTATGTCAAGTGCCATATGCACAATGTATGCACAGTGTCTGACACACAATGAGTGCTTAGCAGAAGGCAGCTGCTCCCAAGAACTAAAGGTAATCATTGGTGGTAATTACCATTTATTTGTCCTCTCTGTCCTGGCAGTTCCTCTGTGACGAGGGTGCTGGTATTTCTGGGGACTACATTGATCGTGTGGATGAGCCCTTGTCCTGCTCTTATGTGCTGACCATTCGGACTTCTCGGCTCTGCCCGCACCCTCTCCTGCGGCCCCCACCCAGCGCTGCTCCCCAGGCCATTCTCTGTCACCCAGCCCTGCAGCCTGAGGAGTACATGGCCTACATTCAGAGGCAAGCTGGTGAGTAATTAAAAGAGCAAGGGGAGGAAGGAGAGACGTGGGGAGGGACAGCAGAAGGCAGAGCGTGAAGAGCCCGGAGGGATGTGCCCCTCTCCTGCCTGCACACTGTTTTTCAGTAGACTCAAAGCAGTATGGAGAGAAAATCATGGAGGAGCTGCCAGACCCGGACCCACAAATGTGGAGGGAGACCAAGCCAGGGATGGTGCCCCCAAAGAGAGCAGGTAGGAGCTTGTTTCACCTGTTCCATGAAACTTGTCTCCATTTCTTCCCTTCCCCAGCCTGTTGTCCTGTACCAACTGTCGGGTGTGGTGTGAAAAAGTACTATGGGCCCAAACCCCTTAGTAAGAGAGGAGGCGCAGGTACCCCATTCTGTTGGCTCCCTTCTGTTTCTCCCCTCCTTTCAGATTCCTCCCTGTTCTCTGTATCCCAGGTGCAGGCCCAACCAAGGATGACAGTAAGGAATCAGATTTCTGGAAGATCCTTCACGAGCCAGAGGACCAGGCCCCGGGAGGGGAGGAGGCACAGGCTGAGGTGAGAGCCAGCTTCCTAGCCGTTTCTCTGATGAGGCTGAACCTGGGCTTTGGGATAGAGGCCCACTCGAGCTGAGGTCATTGTGAGAGGACCTACATCTATCTAGGGCTGCAAGGAGACACCCAGAACCATTGCCTTAAGAGTATGGGAGGGGAGCCGGCCCTGTGGCCAAATGGTTAAGTTTGTGCACTCTGCTTTGGCAGCCTAGGGTTTTGCTGGTTCAGATCCTGGGCACGGACATGGCACCACTCATTAAGCCATGCTGAGGCGGCATCCCACATACCACAACTAGAAGGACCCACAACTAGAATATACAACTATGCACTGGGGGGCTTTGGGGAGAAGAAGAAGAAGGAAAAAAAAAGAAGATTGGCAACAGATGTTAGCTCAGGTGCCAATCTTTAAAAAAACAAGCATATGGGAGGCATAAACAAGCTTGCATCCTTGCCTCTGCCCTTTTCTCCTCCTCAGGAGCAGGAACCAAGCCTTGAGGCAGCAGACCCAGCTCCAGGCTCTCCTGATGGTGAGTGAACTCCCCACGGCTCCTTTACTGATGGCATGTATTTTCAGGTTGGCACGGTGGGGGATGGGGGGCTGGGGTTGACCTGAACACTGGGAGGGAGGGAGGTTGGGCAGCCAGTCCAGCAGTGAACTCACTTCTACAGGAATTGGTACTCTTTGTAGACAACAGTTCTATTTTGGGGTGGCAGCAGAACACAGTGGTTCCACCACTTGCTGACTCGGTCATCTTGGACGATTTCACTTGCCCTCAGTTTCCTCGCCTGTAACATGTGGGTAATGACCCCTACCTTGGAGGGCTGTTGTGAGATTAAGTGAGAAGGAATCTGGAGTTCACAGCAGAATGCCTGGAACTGAGTAGAGATCACAAGTGGTTTCTATTTGTGGAAGCGGGAGGACAGGATCCAGGGAAGAGGGGCCCTTGGCCCCAGAATCTCCTCTGTGGTCCTGAAAATGGGAGTGATCGCCAGAAGGGCTCGGCAGCGCCTGAAAGAGCAGGGCACGCAGCAGTGCGTTAGCATCCTCCTCTCTCTCACCTGGGAGTGCGCCTTAGCACAGTGCTCCCTGAGGGGGCACGTTGGCCCCAATTGTTCTTGCCAGACAGGTAGCTCCCGGGGGCAGGGACCATGTCCTTCCCTGGTCTCCTCGACCTCTCTCCTTAGGAAGTCAAAGTAGAATTTAGGAGACAATGGCTCCATTCCTATTCTTTCACCTCAGATTTTCAGAACAATGTGCAGGTCAAAGTCATTCGGAGTCCTGCGGACCTGATTCGATTGATAGAGGAGCTGAAAGGTGGAACAAAAAAGGTAGGGGCCCTACTCCAGGGAGGCTGGAACCGCCATGTGGAGAGCCACCCTGAGCCGGGCCCAGCAGAGCCGGTGCCCCTCCTTTACTTCTCCTGAGTCTCTCCCACATCCAGCCGCTGTTTGTCTGCCCCCAGCCACGTGTCTCTGCTGACACCCCCACTATCTACCTCTTTCTCTTGGCCCCCATCCACCCAGGGGAAGCCAAACGCAGGCCAGGAGCAGCCTGCAGATGATGCTGCAGAAGTCCCTCAGAGGGAACCGGAGGTGAAGGAAAAGGGTGACAGAGAACATCAGAATGAGGTGGAAGAAGAGGAAGAGGATGACGAGGATGAAGACGAAGATGAGGATGAACGGCAGTTACTGGGAGAATTTGAGAAGGAACTGGAAGGGATCCTGCTCCCGTCAGACCGAGAGCGGCTCCGTTCCGAGGTGAAGGCTGGCATGGAGCGGGAGCTGGAGAACATCATCCAGGAGGTGAGCACAGCTCTCAGCCCTCAGGCTTCTGCAGCGGCCTGCTCCTGCGGGGCAAGACAGGCTGAGGGGCTGCGAGAGGGCAAAGGGCAACACCTAGCACAGCGGGGGCACAGGATGGAGCACTCTGAAGTGGCAGCTGTTGACTGAGTTAAAAGGGGGGACGGTGGGGAAGGGGGATCAGAGGGAGGGGTGACACTTAGATACAACTCTCCTGTAAGCGTGGACCACTGGCCTTCCCTTCCCAGACCCCTGACTGTCCACCCCCCCTTGGGCATTCCAGACGGAGAAGGAGCTGGACCCAGACGGGCTGAAGAAGGAGTCAGAGCGTGATCGGGCCATGCTGGCCCTGACGTCCACTCTCAACAAACTCATCAAAAGACTGGAGGAAAAACAGAGCCCGGAGCTGGTGAAGAGGCACAGGAAAAGGAGGGTTGTCCCCAAAAAGCCTCCCCCAACACCCCAACCAGCAGGTGAGACGGGAGGGAGTGGCCCAGGCCTTTGTCTCCAGCCCTCAGCTGGCGGATCCTGTTCTTTCCCTTCCGAGAGCGCTCACTCTCTTCCTTCCTTCCGGAACACTGTTCTCTCTCCTGCCTTCTTCCCGCTGCCTCCATCCCTTTGCCTGGTTACCTCCTATTCATCCTTTTGGGAAGCAGCTTTTAAAGGATGTCTGTCTTGCTCCTGGATGCCCGGCACATAGTGGGTGGTCAGTAGATAGTAACTGAGTGACTGTGAGCCTGTGTGCTGAAGACCACGTGTCTGTGGAGGATGCAGCCCGTCAACAGTTAGGACTCGCACCGGGCGAGGACCCGGCTGGCCACGTGTGCATAGGCAGCCCAGCGGCTCCTAAGCCAATTGCGGGGACAGATGAAGTTATCCCTTCTTCTTGCACCTCCCCGTGTCCCCGTTCCACAGGGTCCTGTGGGAGTGGAGATCAGACATTCCAAATGGAATGTGCCAATTTCAAACCTTCTATCCCACTATCTCGATACACATTGAAATGTCTCTCGAGTACCAACCTGTGGAGTGCCAAACCACAGTTTTCCAACCTGCTTCTTAAAATGAACTTCTCTGTAGGCCCAGGTGGCCTGATCTTTGCTTCAGAGAACACAGTCATTTTCCTGTAGGTGCTGGGCAGAATTGTTGGGTCGAGAGGGAACAAGGGAGGCTGCAGTTGGTGGAGGGAGCTTTACAGGCTGGAATTGGGAGGGGGCGCTAATTTATTTTGAGCCCTGGTTCAGATACGAGTTTGAGGTGGAATAACTGCCCGTTATTCCAGTTGATGGCTTAGGGAGAGGTGACCATCTCAGCCCCTAACCCTGGAGTCACGGCTCCACTTTGTGTCTCCCTGTGTGTCTCCCCCTCTAAGAGGAGGATCCTGAGCACAGAGTCCGGGTCCGGGTCACCAAGCTCCGTCACGGAGGCCCCAATCAGGATCTGACTGTCCTCGAGATGAAACGGGAAAACCCGCAGCTGAAACAAATCGAGGGGCTGGTGAAAGAGCTGCTGGAGAGGGAGGGACTCACGGCGGAAGGTGGGCCCTGGAGGGCGGGGCTGGCTTAAGAGCTGTTGGAAGGGCTTACTTCCTGAAGTGGAGGGGCTGGGGACCTGGGGGGCAGAGGACCTGCACTGAGGCGCTCACCCTGCCTTTCCTCTCACTGCCCATCCCACTCCTTTCCAGGGAAAATTGAGATCAAAATTGTCCGACCAGGGAATGAAGGGTCTGAGGACGATGCACGCTGGCTGACTGATGAGGACACGAAAAACCTCAAGGAGATTTTCTTCAATATCTTGGTGAGAGGTGCCCTACCCCCAAATCCTCCACCTCCAGCCCCCCACTCCCACTGCAACACACTGTGCTGTTGAGAGGGGGGTTTAGAGTCACCCAGGCACGTGCCAGCCTGGCCACTTTCGGAGCTTCAGTTTCCTCATCTGTGAGATGAGGCTGGTGGTCCTGGCCGCCGGGTGACCGGCACCAGCAGGAGCCCGGGAAGAAGCGTGAAGTGTGTGTTGTGCTGGGCCTGCCCTCCCCACGGCAGTGCTGGATCTTCGCGCGCTCACCCCGCCCACTCTCTCCACCCCCAGGTGCAGGGAGCGGAAGAGGCGCAGAAGGAGCGGCAGCGGCAGAAAGAGCTGGAGAGCAATTACCGCCGGGTGTGGGGCTCTCCGGGTGGGGAGGGCACCGGGGACCTGGACGAGTTTGACTTCTGAGACCACCACACCATCCGCTGGCCAAGGAGTCCAGAGTCTTCCTTGACTGGCCCTGCCTCCTCCCTACCCCGCCACCCCAGCCCCGGCTTGAAGGCAAAACAGCAGAGTAGAGCCAGCTGTGGACTTTGGGGCCCCACCTCAGGGTGTGAGGGGCCTGGGGTGGGGGCCCCACCTCGGGGTGTGAGGGGCTGGGGTGCGTGCTGCCCTCGTGCCCCCTCCCCTCCCTCCATCTGTCACAGCCCCCCCCCTCCCCCCCCCCCCCCTTTTGCTGTCCGGGCTTCTCCCCCACCTCTCTCTCCTTTCCTCCCTGGCTTCCCTTGTTACCGGCCCCTAACTTGCTGGTTCCTCTCCCCTCCCCCCCCTGGAGAGTTGGTGATATCTTTTGACTGGAGGAAAGCAGAGAGAGCAAGGAGAGGGGCAGGCCAGCAGGCCCCCACACCTGCCCTACTGCTGCCCCTAGTCACCTTACCCCTCCCTGGGTCTGGCCTGGGGTTCCCTGCTCCTCTCCCTTCCCACACTGTTCTCTGCAGTCTGCCTCCGAGTGGAGGCACCTTCCCCTCTGTTGCTGAGGAAGTGGGAGAAAGTTGCCCACCACCTCTGACACAATCCCAGTGGCCAGGGTGGCCTGCAGACCCACCCACCAGGTTTTTGAACAATCAGGTTTCTAAATAAAGAACTGGACCATCAATCTTTTTTTTTCTTTTAGAGGGTAGGTGAGGTGGGGGCTGAAGTAGGGCTGAGGCTTGAGGTTCTCATCTGGGTGGAGGGCACACTGATGTGTTCTGTGCCCCCACCTCCCAGGTGGTCTCATGGGGGTGGGTGTACAGGAAGAGCCAAGGGCAGAGGAACAAGCCCACTGGCCTGGCCAGGACGGAGACACTTGCAGAACTGTGGTCCCTCCTTTTCCTCCTCTGTCCATTTATCTTCCTTCTCTTCTTGCCTTTTACATCCTGAAAGCTGATGTGCACACCATGGAATTACCCCACCTGGGGGTCCTCCTTCTGCTGACCTCTGGCCTCTCTCCCTACAGCCTGTGGCCCACACCCCCTCCCCGCCTGGACATCCCACTTCACCATTGCCTAGAAAAGCCCTCTACCCGTGGCCAGGCCCGCATGCCAGCTTCCTAGTATGCCAAGGGTAGGTGCGCCTGGGTGGGTGTCGCCATCTCTTCCTCATGCCTAATGCAGACATGGGTCCTTCCCCTCCCCTCTTCCTTCTCTTGCTCCCCATCTCTGTGGTGTACAGCTTTTCTGCTGAAGACTTTCCACTGTCTCATGGATAAGATGGAGGGCAACTCCCACGTCTCCAAGAGTGGAGAGTGAGGCATTCCATTGAGGAAGGAAGCTGTGTGAGATGACCTTCTCCTTGCCGAGTGCAGACCAGTGCCTACTGTGCATGTTCTGCTTAGATTGTCTGATTTAGAAATGTAAATGGGTAGCCTTGTAAAACCCTGCTTCCCCAGATCATCAGTGTATCTTAAGGGGAGGGAGGCTTCACCTGTGCAAGGTCTGAGACACTGCCTCGAGTGCAGCTGTAGCCAGAACGCTGGGTTCAAATCCTCGCCCTCCATTGACTATCAGTAGGGCCGAAAATAACTTTTCACATGCTGTGTCCTCATAGGTAAATTGTGGATAATTGTGTTGGCCTCGTAGTGTGGGTGTGAGGATTGAAGGAGATAGTGTGTGTCATGCTCTTAGCACAGTCCCTGGCCCACAGTAAGTGCTCAGTGACTTATAATAAACCAGCTCCTGAGTTCTGAAGAGACTAGATGGTGCCTGGAGGCAAGAGTCTTGGAAGGAATCCCCAGAGCTGCTCAGAAGCTACAGTAGAATCTGTTAGGATGCGAGGGTGGGGAGGGAAGCTGGGGCAGGAGGGTTACCTTTGATTTGATGGGAGTGGAGTCTTATCATCAGAAAACTGAGTTCTGGAAACCTCGCTAGATTTAATCATTTTGTACTTTCAATAGTAAAGTCCTTTTCATTTTCCTTTGGCTTTTGGTAAAACTCCAAAGGAGAAAGTTGGTCTGCCCAGCTGTGCTGAGGCAAACAGGAGGAGGAGAGCAGGGTGTGTGGCAGATGGCAACCAGGAGGGGGTGGGGAGGGGGATGGCGGAGGGCAGCAGGAATCCAGGTGAGACAATCCAGGCGAGCTGTGAAGGTGGCATGGACAGGAAGGGGCAGCAGCACCCCTTCCGCACCCCAGGGAGTCCCCTTCCAGAGTCCTATTCTGCCGCAACCTGGAGGGCTTGCTTGATGTTGTGTCACCCCATCTCCCACAGGGCCAAAGACGCAGCCCATGAAACGAAGAATCTAGTGGGTTACTCAGGGTGGGGAGTTGCTGTGGGGTTGTGACCCCTTGACCACCTCTCACTGGCTGGCGGTTCCCTCTAGTCAGGTCATCCTCTCCAGAGTCCTTGCTTCCTCCTCGTACTCTCTCACACTCGAGCTTCTGGGAAGGGGACTGAGCTTTTGCCACCAAGAAGGAAAGTGGAGATGGAGTGGGGAGTCCAGGGTCTGGGAGCTGAAAGGAGGAATGGCCAGGGCTTCCAGTTGAGTCTCTGCTACTTCCCCGCTTCCTCTCGCTTTGCCTCCCCAGACCACACACCTGCATCTGCACCTCGCACTTCCCCTGCACCCCTGAATCCACCTTTCCTGGGTCCTGCTACTGTGCTGCATGGTCGCCCAGCCTAGGACCCTGCAGAACCAGGGCCTCCATGTGAATGGGACCTGGGGCCATTGCTGCATCCACACCTTGTTAGCTTGGTGGCATATCTGCAGCTGAACATCTGTTGTGAGGCTGAGAGCTAGAAACAACTCTACCGGAAGATGCTGGGCCAGTGACTGGTTCGTCAAAGTGGCTGACAACATGTGGATGGCTGTGCCCAGCCTGCATTGGCTGCTGGCCCAACAGCACCCCACCTGGCCCCTCTACCAGGTCACACGAGGACTGGCAGGACTGGCTACACGCTGAGCCACAAGGTGCTGCAGCTCTTGGAGGTGGCGCTGGCCTCAGCGGCCCTGTAGATGACAGGGCAGTGGACAATGTCTGCATTAGCTGGGCATAGAGTTCATGAGCACCAGGGACCTCTGTGGCCAAGAGATCTTCCACCTCTTCCCTCCCTGCCAGGAGAGGGGCCCCTCCTATAAGCTCTACTTCTGGTACCAGGTGCTCTAGGTGAGCAGGCTGGCCTGGGGCAGTCCTCCACAGCCGCGGCTGGAGCCCTTTCTAGGTGCCCTGTGAACAGACATCGTTCAGATTATAAATAAGCAGATGCCATGGAGGTAACCTGCCCAAGGCCACTTAGCTATGAAGTGGAGCGCCGGGTTTTAAAATGAGATCTGATTCCAAAATTCCTGCTCTTAACCAAAGCTACCCCATCTTCTCCTCCCTGCAAGTGGCCCCCTCCCCTGTCCTCTCCTCTAAGCTCCATACCCCAACTCCTTCCCAGAACAGGAGGCATCATGGGAGTCAGTGACCTCTGCTCCCTGGGTCCCCATTGTTGCTCTGACACCTGCCTGTCTCCTTCCACTGCATGAACCCGGAACTGTTGCACAGCATGGAGTACCTGACCTACCACCTCCATGCCCTTGGACACCGCCCTGCCACCAGCCCCACCAGCAGGAGGAACCCCTTCTGGCCCTCTCCCACCTCCAGTTCCCCACCCTGACCAAGGCCTTTCCCTGACCCGCCTCTTGAAGAACAGACCAGCAGCTCACCCCCTAGACAAAATCACTTCCTCTTTAATTGCTGCTGAAGATTCACATGACCTGCCTCGGAGGAGAAGAGGGGGGCATTCTCCCCTGCCTCCGCCCCTCTCCCCTCCCCAATTACCTGGTCCTTTGCAAAATATTTTAGCTGGAAAAAAAAAAAAAAAAAAAAAAGACCGGAAACCACTGACACTGATGGCCCAAGGGCTGGATTGATTGAGGGGAGCAGGGCTGGGCCAGGTAAGTCCACCCCCCCCCCCTTCCGGGGATGGAGCAGGGGGCCTGGAAACCCTCCCAGCCACCTCACGTCCTCTTAGCCCTGGCTGGGAGGGATGGTGGGGTTGAGGGATGGCGCTGGAGCTGCTCCAGGGGGAGGGAGGGGCTGGACAGGAAGAATAGTGAGGAGGGGTCCCGTTGTAGGGGTGCCCCTACCCCAGATCACCATGGGCGCTGCACAGTCACAGGTACGCAGTCACGGTCACAGACACTCACAACCCGAGAGCACCCCCACCCCACCCCACCCTCCGCCCACCCTTGGCTTCCCTTCCCCTGAAACGCCCTCCCCAAGCCCTGCCCGCCCCTGTCCCCTTGGTGGGGAACAAAGCAATAAATTACAAGGCCCCTCCCCAGTCCCCTTAGCCCGCTCCTGTTCCATCCCTTCTCCCTCCCAAGATAGTAGTGAGGAGGGACCCAGGTTCTTGGCTCCCCCGGCCCTTTAGCTTCCATCCATGGGTGGGTGTGGGGGGACGTCCTGATTTCCACTCCTCATGGTCCCTTTCACGGAAAGGGTTGGGGAACCCCTTACCCCCTTGGGCAGCAGGGGTCCTGCCCCTCGCTGCCCTTCCCGCTTCACTGGGCAGTGAGATTAGCTTGGAAGGGGTGGGGTCCCCCGTATTGGCCCCAAGTCACAGGGCTAGCCCTCCCACGTATTAACCCCTCCCTCTGGCGTGGCGTCGCCCCAGGAGCCAGCCTGGGTATGTGCTCTGGCCGTGGGATTGTCAAGCACAGGCAGGACTGGGTCTTTCCCCCGCCCCTAGGGGGCGCGAGCGGGCACATCCAAGCGCCCAGGAGCAGGTGCCGCCGCGGGGCGTCCCGTTAGCGGGTAGACCCAGAGCAATCCGAGTGTGGAAACAGTGGAGAGGGGGCGTGTTGAGCTGGGGTCTCCATGCCTCGTTGGGGAGAGGGAGGTGAGTTTGTGTCTTCCGGGAGGCGTGGGGGCTGTGCCCTCGTGGGGGGACGAAGTGCTCCCGTGGGGCGGGGTGCAGATGGAGAGGTGAGTGGGTGCATCTGTCCA